GGGAACAGGCCAGAAATAGCCTGTTCCGAAACCCAGTTTTCGTGCCTGAATCTTAGGGCAGGTTGAAACAAATGAAGTCCTAAAAATAGCCCAGGGCCTAAGAATAGCCCTCCGTTTCAGGCTGGAAAAACTCTGGGTCTGAAAGACCCAGAAATAGGCTGAAACGGAGTAGGGCCTGCAGGCCCTCGTTTTTCAGTTTTCAGGCTGGAACGACCGGGGCCTGTAGATCCTAAGTTTTAGGCTTTTAGGCTGAATGTCCGGGACGGGTCCTACAGGGCCCGTGTGGCTATGCAGTATGCCACACTAGGAAAGAAAGCCTATAGCCTAGGACTGAATCTAGACCTAAAATTGGCAAAAGGGAAGGACAAAAACGACCTACAACTCAAGGGCAGAAAAGGACAAAACAGAGAGGCCCAGTGGTTCTATGACTACTCTACAGAGACTCTCACACTCAGACCTCGGGATCGAGCCCAGTAAGGCTCACACATACAAAGAAACACACAACCATGGTACAGGGCACGAGATCAAGTCCCGAAGAGCTCAAAACCAGCCAAACCAGATCGAAGTCATGTACAGCCGGCATAGCACTGCAATTCATTGCAGCTATACACAACTCGTTGAACTCAACAAAAAAACGCGTGTTTTGTGTGTTTGTGTGTGTGTGTGTGTGTGTGTGTTTTGTCATGTTTTTTTTTCTTTTTCAAATAGCATGCTTCACTATATATTGAGCAAAAGGAGGCCGGGAATCCCTCCACATCTCAACCCGGAAGACTGAGACCAATACCCAGATCAGATTCATACTGGAAGCCGGGTCCAGTGTCCCTCTTCACCTATTAAGATACATGCTATTCCTGAACAATTACAAAACTGGATTAACAACAACCAAAAAGAAAAAAAGGAAAAAAAAATCAAACCTGCCCCTATTATGCACTTAGGTGCCGAAGGACTACCATTCCTACTCCCAGGTTTCTTTCCAAATATCTCCGACGACGACTCCTTTCTATCCGCTCTTCTTAAACCCTAAACCCTATGCCCCTTAGCTGCGCTTCCGGTCTCAGAAGGATAACTAAAGGACACATATCCTATTCACCTAAGAATTAGAGTAGTTTTTACTTTTCCTCCTTAACTATTGACTGCCTACTTCGCTCCCAGACTTTCCGTTCTCCATTTTAAAATCAGTTTCCCTCTCTGAACGCTAGCTACTGCCCCTTGGCCCAGTACGTTCTGAAAGAATCGGGCCCTATATTCCTCGGCCTTCTCCGGGTGTTGCTTGCATTGATTCCCCACCCTCTTCCATTGCACTTGCAGATACTCTACAAAACCCCACCAAAAAAGCATGATGCCAGACTGTTTCGTCGGAGTTTCATCAACTCGTCAGGGGTGTGGTTGTGTGTGTGTCTGGCTTAAAGAGTGACAGTCTTACAATATATCTCTGTGAACTGACTGGCCCCACGTAAATTCAGAGTTAATTTTTAGTCATCTGATTCGATTGGCGTCCAAACTCAGGTCTGTGTTTCCAAATGATGCGCCCATGTGTTTTCAAGCGCTGATTGGCTTGGGAGCATAATCGAAGCAGCCTGTCGCCTACTGTGGCATACTGAGCACCACACGGACCCCCACAGGCCCGACCAGGCAGGACAGGGTTTAGGTAGAGGCCCGTCAGGCCTGTGTCATTTCGGCCTAGGTAGGCCTCGTAGGTCGGTAGGCCGTAGGTAGGCCCCGCAGGTCGGTAGGCCTAGGTAGGCCCCGTAGGTCGATAGGCTGTAGGTAGGCCCCGTTTTGGCGCCAGACCCGGTATAGGCCCAGTAGGCGCCAGGCCGTTTCAGGCCCTGTTTCAAATTCGAAGATTCGAATTTGGGCGCCAGGGACTGGCGCCGTTCGGCATTGGCAAGAACAGCCTCCCAGCGGGACCAGCGCTATATATAGCTGGTCCGCCTAGGAGGCAACATTCAGTCATCAGGCATTCAGCAGCGACACTCTCCGGAGATGCTGCAGTGGTAGTAGGTGACGATAGGAGTAGTCTTCCAGCGCTGGGCGCTGCTAGGATCGTAGGATAGCTAAGAGGGAGGAGAGTGGCGGAGGCCAGGGGACTTACCTGGGAGCTTACCTGTGACGCCATCCCTCCAGTTTCGTCTTCGGTGTACCTGCAGCAAGGCGCCACCTTTCACAGGTTAGTACCTGGCACAGAGAGAAGAGAGAGAGAGAGAGAGAGAGAGAGAGAGAGAGAGAGAGAGAGAGAGAGAGAGAGAGAGAGAGAGAGAGAGAGCTCTTCTTCTTCTTCTTCTTCCTCCAGTCCACCATCTCTCCCCCACCCTCCAGCTACCTGACTTCTCAGTATGGACAGACTACGCGCGCGCGCGCGCGCGCGCGAGAGAGAGAGAGAGAGAGAGAGAGAGAGAGAGAGAGAGAGAGAGAGAGATTTGTGATTTTGGGAATTGACGACATTTGGATTCGGACTCGACATTGGGACAGAGACCTTGGGTGGGGGACTACCTGGGATCGATATCGAAGACATGGTGTTGACAACATCCTCATCGTCCCCCTCTTCTTCGTCTGATGCCCCTCCTCCTCGTCTATGCATGATCTGAGCCTGGCGCATTCTTCCTGTGTGTAGCACCGGGCTCCTTCACACCTTGCGATGATGATGAGGTATGTTTGGTCTGCATTGCGACATTGATTGGTCTGATCATTGGTATTTCAGTCTTCCGCTGTGCTATCCTGTACTATGTGAGAGAGGTCGGTTCTCGTTTCTGGTCTGCACCATATCGGTACGCGACAATCTACTTCTTTAGCAGAAAAGGCTGTAAAAAATCATTCTTTGTTCTTGACTGCCGTTGTCTGTCCATTCCTGCCTCCCTCCCTCCCTTTCCCCTTCTTCCTCGCTTCAGCCGCCTCCCTCTCTTACCACACTTTGCTTCGTCTTCTTCCTTTCCCCAACATTTGTTCTCTTTCTCTATTGCTGGCTCCTCCCTCCCTACTTTTTCTTCCCCTCCACCCTGGCCTCTTCCCTCCCTCTCCCCCCATGTTACATGCTGCGCCTGCACACGAGGGCCATTTTCCAGGCCCTGTATCCCTCAGGCTAAAAGCCTGAAAAACAGGGCCTACAGGCCCCGTGTCTGTTCAGCCCGAAAGCCTGAAAACAGGGGCCTACAGACCCTGTGTCGTTTCAGACTAAAAATGGCAATAGCCTTTTAGCCTGAAACGAAGGGCCATTTTCGGTCGTTCATCAGAACGACCGGCCACGAAAATCAGGCACCGAACCAGGGTTTCGGGAACAGGCTATTCTTAGCCTGTTCCCACGCCAGCCTCAGCAGATGCTGCAGCGCCAGCCCCTGGCACACTTCGGCATTGGCAAGAGCAGCCTCCTCGGCCTGGCTCGCCYTTCAGGCAGTCAGGAGGCAGGCCGAGGTAGTACATAGGGACTTCCCATGCACTTCACGGGCAGGCAGGAGGCAGTAGTCTTCAGGATTCGGCAGCAGCACTCTGGAGGGAGCGCTGCAGTAGTAGTAGTAGCGTTAGCCTTTAGTCTTCAGCGCTGTGCCCAGTAGGTATCTGTAGTCTCCAGCGCTGGGCGCCATAGCTAGTATAGCACTAGAGAGAGAGAGAGATTGGGCGGAGACCATAGGTACTTACCTGCAGTGCCGTTGCTCCAGCTTCGTCTTCGAGGTACCTGCAGCACAGCGCCAACTTCACAGGTTAGTACCTGGCTCGTAACAGAGAGAGAGAGAGAGAGTTCTTCKTCTTCCTCTTCTCAGTCCACCATCTCCCTCTCACCCTCTCATCATCTGACTTCACTGCATCAGCAGACTACGAGAGAAGAAAGAGAGAGCTTGGTGACATTGGATCCAGACTCGACTTTTGGGCTTCAGACATTGCAACGAGGGGTTATTTGGGACTTGTGACAAAGACTTGGTGTTGACGACATTCCCATCTCTCCCTCTCCTCTTCGTCTGATCCCCTCCTCTTCGTCTGTGTATGTCTGGACCTGGCGCTTCCTTCCTGTATACAGCGGCAGGCTCCTTCACACTTTGTGATGGACACGATGTATGTTTGGTCTGCGTTAAACATTGATTGGGCTAGTCATTAGCATTCTAGCATTCTACTTCGCTATCCTATACTACGTGAATGAGGTCAGGCCCGGTCAGGTCAGGTATCTAAGTCTTCCACTGCGCTATTCAGCACCATTTGTATGTATCCGAATGCACATTGCTTGTTGAGATTCTACTTGCACTGCATTGTCCATTCAGTCCTCTTTATCACATTGCGGATCCTCGGTTATTATGTACATCGCCCATCTGGGCATGTAACACCCCACCTCTCCCAACTCTCTATCCATGCACACTGCCTGTTTGTTGCTTCTCGCCATCCTTGGACTCTGCACTTTTCAGTCGCCTGTAGCTTCTGGGCATGTTTGATGTTGATGCTTGGCGATCTTCTGGACACACTCGGCACGGCCCTGTCTGTTGAGATCTGGCCTGGGAGGGAGTCCTACGATGCCCGTCCACGTCTATTATGTGCTTCCTTAGTGGGTTGGTTCTGAATTGGACTCTAAGGGGGGCATACTCACACCAGGACTTTCCTCAATGAATCTGGTCGCAATTACGGCTGGACCTGGATGCATCTGACGGCAATCACGTCTGGAACTTAGCTGGAAAGTTGTAGTGTGTGTATGCCCTTAGTGGATTGTTTTTTTGGCCCATAACTGTTTCCGATGCCGTCCATCCAGCAGCCCTCTTTGGAGCTTAAACATGCCTCTTCTAACTGTTATGTGGTGGTGTGTCCTCTCTTGGCAGTTTTATGTTGCAGATGGCGAGCTGTCCTGTCAAATGTACCAGCGCTCATGCGATATGGGTCTCGGAGTTCCATTCAACATCGCGTCCTATGCACTACTCACCTGCTTGATTGCTCATGTTTGCGGTATGCCTCAACTTCCTTCTCTGTATCTTCATCTTCATTCATACCTCTTTATTTATTTTAAGTAAAATTTTATGAAAATGTACCAAATTTTATGTAAGTTTTATTTATTCATTTCTCTCGTTTATGTGTTTGTTTATTTTCGAGCTTTCTACGATCGCTCTTTGCTGCGGTTGGTGTATTTGCATCTGACCTGAAGGTGATGCTGAACGCATAAGCATGGGCCTGTGTTCTATTTGGAAGAGGACAAGAGACTTCTCCTTTGATTGTATGTCTCTTTCGTCATTGATTCAATCACTGATCATGTTCATGCAGAGATTGTCTTGAGCTCTTCGCGAGAAATACAGTGTGTGCTGAGCCCTGTTTCGTCTCACTGACTGTAGTCTGTGAACTGCTCTACTCTCTCTCTCTCTCTCTCTCTCTCTCTCTCTCTCTTTCTCTCTCTCTCTCTCTCTCTCTCTCTCTCTCTCTCTCTCTCTCTCTCTCTCTCTCTCTCTCTCNCTCTCTCTCTCTCTCTCTCTCTCGCATACAACATACACATATACACACATACACATACACACACTCTCTCTCTGTCGGCACACATACACACACTCTCTCTCTCTGTTAGCACACATACACTCTCTCTCTCTGTCATCACACATACACACTCTCTCTCTCTGTCAGCACACATACACACACTCTCTCTCTCTCTGTCAGCACACACACACACAATCAGGCACACACACACATACACACACTCTCAGACACATACACACAGATTTCCATTATCGCGATCCTGTGTGCCGCTCGCTTGGAGATTTCGAAGTACGCGTTGATCAGCCGGTGGGTGGTTCTTCGACGAAAACCAGGTTCAGAAGTTTGGACCTTGATAAACCAGGATAAAGCTGGGTTGTTTCCCTGCTTTAACCAGTTTCATGAAATTTTCTCCAGAGTCGACTTCAGCTCCTGCTTTGCGCAGTGTCGACCAGTTAACGTTCCACCGTTCTGCCTGATGAAGGTGGGTGGCTCGCTGATCGGCGGAAGCTTCTTTGTTGCTACGATGATCAAGCAGCTTCCGCTCCCGGTAGCGCGCTAATCGACAGCTCATCCAAGCGCAAATCGTCGATTCCCAGAAGGTTCGATGAGGCCGACCGTCAAGAAACCAGTCAGTGACAAGCTCGATCCCTTCGATGTCGACCTCTACACCAGGTCCTCTCTCTCTCTCTCTATCTATCTATCTATCTATCTATCTATCTGTGTGTGTGTGTGTGTGTGTGTGTGTGTGTGTGTGTGTGTGAGTGGATGCGTCGCTTTTTATCCTCCGCGCTATGTGTCCTCGGCCTCTACCTCCCTCTGTGTGTCTCTTTGCTTCCCATGCCTACCCCTCTTCTGTCTCTATCGGGCCTACTCTCCCTGGTATCTGTCTCTGGCTCCCCCTGTTATCTGTCTCTGGCTCAGCGTCGTTTTTCCTCTTTCTTGGTCTCTACGAGGGCGCGAGCGCGGAAAGATGTGTGTGATGTCTCGGTATGTGCATGCGTTCATAGGTGCAATGTATCCGTACAGACGCACGCATGCGTTTCTAGAGGTGTGAAGTTGGGGATGAGTTGGCCGGAAGTGCTTTTCTCAGCCTCAGGTGGCTGCAGTGTCTATGTGAGGGCTCTCGGTAGCTGGTCGACTGTCTGTCTCTTATACACATCTAGATGTGTATAAGAGACAGCTCTCTCTCTCTCTCCGGAGCATCTCTCTTGGCCCGTTGCCTGGCTGCAAGTTGACTTTGCTATCTCTGTCATCCTCCCTTCCGGCTCTCTTCGCCGGTTATGCAGTTTTGGACTTCTCGTGGAATTCGCCGGCGATGAGCTACGGGAGAATTCTCTGCTTGATGTGCCCGGGATCTTTGCCGACAAGTGTCCGGCAGCATGGTCTTACTGCTCTGATGCCTCGTTGACTCTGTCTTTTTTTTCTTTCCTTTTTTATTCCTTCCTTTTTTTTTTATATAAGCTGCCTCCATTTTTTGCCTTTTGGTGGTGTGTTGGAGTGAGACAAGCAGATTTATTGCTGAAATGCCTCCACACCTTCCGTACCTTCCCTTGGTTGATTGGTTGATTGGTTGGTTGGTTGGTTGGTTGGTTGGTCGGTCGGTCGGTCGGTCGGTCGGTCGGTCGGTCAGTCGGTCAGTCAGTCGGTTGGTCGGTTGGTCGGTTGGTGGGTGGGTGGGTGGGTGGGTGGGTGGCTTGGGTGGGTGGGAATGAATGAATGAATTGATTGATTTGATTAATTTCATTGATTTGATTGATTTCGTTGATTTGATTGATTTGATTGATTTGATTGATTTGTTCGATTGATGGATGGATGGATTGATGGATGGATGAGTTGATGGATGCGATTGATTGATTGTCGATCGATGGATGTGGTTGATGTGAATGGTTGATTTATTTATTGATGTGATTAATTTCATCGATTTGATTTATTTGATTGATTTGATTGATTTGGTTGATGGATGGATGGGTTGATGGATTTAATTGATTGATCGATCGATCGATGGACATGTTTGATGTGAATGAACGATTGATTTATTGATTTGATTGATTTGATTGATTTGATTGATTTGATTGATTTGATTGAGTTGATGGACTCGATGGATTTGATTGATTGGTTGTGTTGATTGTTTGCTGGTTGTGATTGGTTTGAATCATACTTGCAACCGCACGAGCTGCACATTCATGCGGAGTTCCGTGCGGGGGGTGCCTGTGCGGAATCGTGCAGGTTTTTTATGTTCATTATTATTATTTTATCTTTGTATGGGAGGGGGAACGGGAGGGTGTATGACAGGAGGATGGGGATACGGCGAGGAGAGGGGGATATGGAGAGGAGGAGGAGGAGGAGGAGGAGGAGGGCGACAAGGATAGCGAGGACGACGAGGAGTCGTCGTCGAGATGGGGGGAGCAGAAGAGATGGACGAAGGGAAAAGAGGAAGGGCAGGAGGAGGAGGGCGAGTGGGAGGAGGAGGAGACATGGAGGGCGAGGAAGGGGAGGACACGAGGAAGGGAAGGAGACGAGGAGGCATGGAAGATGAGGAAGTACGAGGAGGAGGAGGAGACAAGGAGGATGAGGAAGGGTAGGAGGAGGAGGGCGAACAGGAGGAGGACGAGTCGGAGGAGATGGAAAGGAGAAGGACGAACCTCCCTATATTTCCGCTCCCCTCTCCCGTGTTCTGTTCAACTCCTCTGCTTGTATTATATCCCTCTGCGTCGTCTGTGGTCCTTTGCATTCTTCATGCACACTCATCTGTCCTTCGAAAGGCCGACTGCTGCAGGTAATTCTGAATGATTTCGCTCTGTACATCTGATAGGACCTGGTTTCGTAACTTAGTCTGGATTTCAATAGTTCATGGCGTGTACCAACTCAGCTATGCACTCACTCCTCGATCTCGTACGTCTTTCCTGTTTTGATGGGGATCAGCCAGAATCTAACATTATCGAAATCCAACGGCTTGAATAGGCGAGAAGGAAAAGCACTGTGAGGAGTAAAGCTCTACACTTGTACTAACAACTTAACAAGTTGATAACAACACGGACCATCGGGCGGGTATGATGTGGAAAATACAAAGATCAGATCATCAGAATATAGATTTCGCGAAATACATTACCATAATCAAAAGGTATTACAGTACTATTACTGCCCAAGCAACTAAACTTAACATTATTGTAATGACAGGAGCCATTATAACGACGAATAAAATAGTACTACTTCGTAGAATAGGCTCTTTTTATTAGTCTTTAAGTCTTTTATCATTGATTTCAATTTTCAAACCATGTGCTGAAGTAGTACATGGTTCCTACCACATTCAGACCCACCTAACAGCTTTTCTGGTTGCTCCATAATTGTTTGGGTTGACATAACCCAAACAATCCGCCCACATTCGGACCTTTGCTTCGGTGCAAAGAAGCCATTACTTTTTTTTTTTTTTTTTTTCCCAAAGGTGACGCTCCCCACCAATAGATTGGAGCAACCAGAAAGGCTGTTAGGTGGGTCTGCTCATATCACCCCTCCAAACAGCTGGTCTGTTTTTTCTTAATAATAATTATAAAAAAAAAGCCATTACTTTACATTCAGCTAGTAGCCTAGTACTAAAAAAGTAACTCCTAGTAATAGTGGTATTATTAATTTATTATTTGATTCTCAGGATTTAAAGTTTAAATTTTAAAGTTTAAACTTCAAAGTTTAAACTTGTGATGTGCTGCTTGGGTACTGTACATGTGTGGAGTCTGTGGACCAATAAAGGCTGCCTCCTTTGTGTGTGTAGTACTGTGTACTCTCTAACAGTCTGGAAATCCTGTAGGATTTGAACATCTGATCTTCGGCTCGTACCACCCCTCTGAACTTCCATTTCGGTGAAATTGACTTTTTTAAGTTTTTTTAAAAGGTTTGTTTTTCAATTTTCACGAAATTGGGCGTCCTGGCGTCCCCACGACGCCGTACCATCAGTGGTCAGATGGCGTGGGCACATAAAAATGCTAAAAAATACTGTTCTTTTTTTCTAGGCTGCCAGCTGGGCCGTCCGGGTCACCTTGTTTTCCAGGGCAGCCCGGCCGTGCAAGAACCAGGAACGGTCCCAGCCAAAAGAAGAAGAAGAAGAAGAAGAAGAAGAAGAGGAAGAAGAAGAAGAAGAAGAAGAAGAAGAAGAAGAAGAAGAAGAAGAAAGATGTCCAAAAATTCCCCGAAAAAAACTATGTTATATGCATAAAAATAAACTGAACAAAATTCTTTAAATCCGTTACCAAATTATATTTTTTTAAACCTCTTTTTTGTTTTTTTGCCCCGGCCGGGCAAGTAATCCCGGGCCATTCAGGCAGCCTGTTTTTTTTTTTTTTTTGGTTGTTGGACACCCGATGTTGTGAAAATAAAAAATTCAGAAAAATGTCAATGCCGATCTTGACTAAATGGCAGTTTCTGCGTCATGTGTGTACTTCCTCGATTTTTAACTCACTATCCATTGTTCGTTCATTATTCCTGTTGCTGCCTCTTTCCTATTGAGAAGGGGTATAATTGAAAAAATGGAAGCATGTTTTTTTCATTTTCAAAATTTGTCTTCTATATTTTTAAGGGGCTGCTGCTAAGTTAAGTGTACTGTATACGTCTGATTTCCGATTTCGTGATGGTCCGCACTCAAGTCAACTCATGATCTGCTTGTGAACAATTAGATGTCAGCACTCAATTCAGGCAGATGGAGTTGGTACGATCTCTGCAGCCTCGCGATTGAGTGGGTTTGTTAAACGTTGTTGTTTCTGTCATCGCGCTTTTTATGGTGCAGGTTCTGCAAATCAAAACCGCGACAAAGGATATTGACGCTATCCGGGCCGAACATGTGGAGCTACTTGGGTACGACCCCCATAAGAAAATCGCAATGAAGATGGCTGTATAGTACGCATATCCGCAGTTTTGCTTTAATCTGAGAAGAGATGGCGAATAGCTTTTAGGTTTTAGTTATTGTCATTGTTTGCAGAAATACGACGGAGCTGAACGCAATACTCGATCGGATGTGTAGTTGTTTCTTTTTAGCTGTGGGTGACCATATGTTTAGGAGTGCGTTTGCAATAGCTGGTTTTTGGGACGACGGAGCAGAAGGGGAAGGGGAGTCTGGACGAGACAAATCGCTGTTCTTGTGCAGAGAGGACAAGTTTTTGTGTCAGTTGTGTAGAAAAGAGGTGGTGATAATGCCCGTTGCTCTGCGCGGCAATGTGTGTGTGTGTGTGTGTGTGTGTGTGTGTGTGTGTGTGTGTG